ATATATATATAACAAGCCCGACATTCTGGCCACTTGGAAATATTACTTTGCAACATTACCAAACTGGTGGGACGCTGGTTTGAGTTACGTGGCCAGCTTTCCCAAGTGAAGACCTATATGTTTATAGCTACAGCCGCACGACTGCCGGAGGTCATAAACTAGCTACAAGATGAGTAGCAGTGGGATTGGAAGGAATTCTTGAAGTTGGGAGGACCGACACTCCACAAGGAACTTTTACACCTGTTACGCACCATCTTTGGGATGGAATACATTCTGTAATACTTCACAGATGAAACGACAATCCCTTTGCATAGAAGGAAAGGAGGATGGATAAGTAATGAAGAATCGGTCTCCTGCGAACAGCGGATAAGATCATGGCTCATATACTGCTTAACCGACTTGCCGCTGGTACTCTGTATATCGAAGCGGAGGAATATGACAGCTTAATTTTTGCCGCAAGACAAACGCAAGACGATTTTCATGAACGGAATCAGCCACTCTATGGACTGCTTGTGGACTTTATCAAAGTCTCTGACACAAATAGGCACATTTCTACAGAATCACGGCCTCCGGACAAATTTGTCAACCACAGTAAAGCCCCAAATTGGAATGGAATCATCATCGACAGCATGATATCAGTGTTCAACACCGACGCTTCGCTGCCGTACAACCATGATTTAACTGAAAGCCTTCTTGTAAGGAAACGAATAAAGGTGGACGAGGAAGTGACTTAGTGCTACCTTACTACAATCATTCCGAGATCACTACACCTCCAAACACTCATTCAGGCAATCTGGATATAAACTGACAACAAGATCGCCAATGACATCAGTTAGGAGCCATATCTTGCAGCGTCTCTAATCAGGCGCAGTGAGGATCACGCGGTCCCCATCCTGGAAGGCAAGTAGCACCGACAGCACCCAAACGTTTCGCGATTTCCTTCACGCCCCTCTGCCAGATCAAGGATTGGCCACCTATCTACTTCCGCCACTCTGAGCTGGGCATGGAAAAAAGCACCCTCTTCGGCAAAAAATGAAAAAGCAAACGCAGCACATGTCCCAACCAACGCAGCTTCTGGTGCAGGACACATTCTTCAATGAAAGTACCCGTCTCACAACCCAAAACTCATTCTCTAGCCGTTGTGTATGTCGTGGTTGTACAGGGAGCGAAATGGCCCAAGTGGTTAGAGCGCGAATTTACTGGCCGGAAGGTCCGCGGTTCGAATGCGACCTCTGCCTCTCGACTTCTCTGTCTAGGCTTGGGCAACCTGGCAGTATCCCAGCCCTCGTGCTTCCTTCGGGTGGCATGGCAGCTAGGCACCGGATGAATTTTACAGCTGAACGCTTTTTTCATGGTTGTACGAGGGCTGGGATACTGTCAGGGCTCCCACACCTAGACAGGAGGATGATTAGGGTCCTCAACCAAAGCATTTGGCTCGATAGCCTAACCACAAGGCAGCGGTGTTCGGCTGGAAATGCAAGTGCATTGCCATTTTTACGGAACACGCCACCATACATATTCCAACCCCCAACCTGGAGGGCCGGAGACTGTGTTCGTCAGACCTCTACCTATGGATCAACCTGATATGAGAGACTCTATGAGTGTCCCTGGGACACTCCCCAGTATAGCTCAATGGATCGCCGAGGTAGACAAACCGCCACACCATGGTAAGGTCCAGTCTCTTCGTGACGGGCCTGATTTTTGCTACGGACTATAAACCGTTTATGATCCTTGGTAGTCTCGCCCTGTGTACACCGGATCAAGATGTTGGAGAGGGTTTAGTTGAATCAACTCCGTCGAAATACGACAGCACCGACCTGAGGCTGTCCTTCAATCACCCTGCAGGTTAAACTGGCTGGAACTCAGTTCATAACGGTTCAACAACATCAGGAAGGCTAACAGAGAGAAACCGACGAACAGCTACGCCCCGGACTGTGAGAAATCGAATTACGAGGCGGTCTGGAGATAATGTCATACTGTCCTCCTAGGTAGGAATGTGAAGCAGTAGGTGTCTCCCCCAGGCGACCTGGATGTCCATATTCATTGAAGCAGCGATGCTGACTTCCCCCGAGAAAGGACGGGTTAGAAGAGGTCAGCCCTAAATACCGCACACTCCGATCGCCCAAAGGTTGACCGTGGCCGCTGGCGAATTATTCAGTGCAATCAAAGTACTTTTAAAGTCAGAGTCCGGTGCTGTTCAAAAGGCACTTGTTGAGTGCAGTCGCATCGCGAGCGAAACACTAATGCCCTACTCCCTGCGCCATCGAGTTAGGTCAACTCCCTGCAGCCGAGTAGGACAGACTATTGGGTCATCGGCTCCGGGCAGAGTCCTCAGGGAAAACCCCACTGTCCGCTGCCTCGCGGGTCCGGCTTTTGAGCTAGGAGCTCAAGGTGAGGTCCCTTAACCAAACCTCCTTCCTCGGCCTGGGCAACTGGGAAGTATCATTTGCCCATGCAGTTTGATGTCCACCGATGTCCCTCCCACCACACAAGCAAACGTCACTGGGTCACTTGACTGCCAGTTATCTGACCGAAGGGCCTTATGCTCCTCGCTGCCTATTAATAGTAAACAAAAAACACCCTTCTAAATCCACGAGATCCCTTCTATATGGGAGCTTTTAATGTCCGTACTCTATGTCAAATTGGCAAACAGGCAATGCTTGCTGAAACCTTATACTCTCTTAAAATTGATACATGCTGTGCCTCCGGAACATGCATACAAAACCCGAACGTGGTTATGCATCTCAGAACGCCAAGGATGAATTCAGCTCTTTCACATTTCTCCCTCCGTGCGTCCGGTGACCCAGAAGCGATGACTTCTAACTGCTTCGTTGACACTAACCCATAGCAGCTGTGGTTATGAGACAAGTATTGTCGAACACCTGGATACATCGTCATCATCATCATCATCATCATCATCATCATCATCATCATCATCATCATC